TCTGGGCTGGTCGTCGATGTCTGTTTTCCAATTCGGAAGTTTTATGCTGACTGCGTGTGGAACTTCTATGTGACCCTTCAAACACGTTTCCAGCCCACTGGAGACACGCTTTGATTTGAAGCAGTGCTTATTCAAAAAGAAAATTCTGGTAGCAAACACGTGAAGAGCTCTGCTTGGGAAAAGGCTTTTAGATCAGTGTTAGTCCCTTGGGGGTCTCTGACTTTTTGCACTAATGGTGATGCCAATATTTTGATTTTTATTAAGAAAAATCTAATGGCTGTTTCCTCCCCTCAGCTGCCCTTCATATCTGAATAACAAGGAAAACTGGAAATTCGTATCATTAAAAAAATATTTGTAGAAACAAGATGAAAAATACCAAAGTTTGGAGAAGTGGAATTTTTAATGTCTAATGTCAGACTTTTAAGAGGGTTATTTGTGTAAATTTTGTGCACCTTGGAATAACCAATGGTGTGAAACAAGGTTACGTTCTTGCACCAACTCTATTCACAGTCTTCTCCAGCATGATGCTCCAAAGGGCCACGGCAGACCTCAATGAAGATAACGGCATTTACATCCGCTGTCGTACCCGTGGTAACCTGTTCAACCTCAGGCGACTGAAGGCCCACACTAAGACCCTAAATCACCTTGTCCACGAGCTGATCTTTGCTGACGATGCCGCCCTCGTTGCTCACACAGAAGCAGCTCTGCAGCCCTTAACATCTTGCTTTGCAGAGGCTGCTGAGCTTTTTGGGCTGGAAGTCAACTTGAAGGAGACAGAAGTTCTTTACCAACCTGCACCTCAGGAAGTCTCCCCTCATCCCCACATGCCCACAGGCAAATCAGAGCTTGAGTCAGTCCAGCAGTTCAACTCTCTAGGAAGTATCATTTCCTCGGATGGTAAGATTGACAAAGAGATAGACAGCAGGTGAGCAAAGGCACACAGAGCTTTTGGGAAACTCCAGAAAAGAGTCTGGTGCAGAGAACACCTGAAGAAAAGTACAAAGATGAGTGTCTACAGAGCCATTGTACTGTCTGCTCTGTGATATGGGTCTGAATCCTGGGTCATCTACCGCCACCACCTGTGACTCCTCGAACGCTTCCATCAGCTCTGCCTCTGTACAATCCCGAACATCCGCTGGAGTGACTGCGTGACTGATGTCACTGTCCTTGAACGGGACGGGGGGACCAGTATTGAGGCCATGCTGCTGAGGATGCAGCTGCGCTGGGCAGGGCACGTCTCCAGGATGGAGGATCACCGCCTCCCTAAGGTGGCTGCTGCAACAGAGGAGCCCCAAAGAGGAGATACAAGGACTCTCTGAAACACCACCTCAGTTCTGGCCATGCTGACTGCCACCAGTGTCCACTCTGGCCTCCAGTCGGGAGACGTGGAGTCACACCAGCCATAACGCTGCTGCCTCCTTTGAGAACGCACGTAGAATTAGTCTCGAGGAGAAAAGACAATGCAGAAGGAACCGTGCGTGCCTCACCAACGCTGCCTAAGGAGACTTTCCGCTGTGCCTTTGGCAGCTGGACTTGCCTATCCTGCATCGGCCTTTTTTAGCCCTCAGCATGCTTATAGCAAGTGTGGGTAGAGCCCTTCCCATATCTTTGTTGTGAAGCCCAGCCATCATGATGATGATGATATCAGTGTGTGGGTAACAAGGCAGCATATAGTTTTAAAGGTGCGTGAGAACATGTGGCTGAAAGTTGTTTTTATTAAATTGTCAATATTTGCTAAACTAGCTAATAAAGCCAGGGTTACTTTGCTCTGCTGTCGGGTGCTGCTTAGGTCAGCATCCTTTTCGGTCTGTCCCGCTCCCGAAAGTACTTTCATATTCTCAAGTGTTCCATTGCTTCCCCGAGCACTTCTTCATGGAGGGATGATTTCTGTGATGCTTTTTCACTCTGCTGCCAAGGTGCAGTCCGTTCATTATGTGAATCAGTGCTAACATATTTCAGGAATATTCTGCGTAAAGAAATTCAGTAGCAGGTGCTTGTAGCCTGACGAGCTGGGGAACTGGAAACCAGAGGAAGAATCTCATCATATTACAGTGTTTTCTGTTAGACCTTCCCTCATCTGGGGTAATTGCCACTTCAGAAATCCCTCTCAGGAGGTAGTGAGTACTGCAGAAAAAGTGAATCCCCAGCAACTGGATTGCTGCAAGTTAACTTCTCAACTTTGGTAAGATCCTGGAAATTACAGTGAGCTTGCCTTAGGGTAAAATACATTAAACAAATCTCCGGTCTTGCTTCACGACATGGGAAACGCCTAATGCAATTTTTGGCACCACATAAAACAAAGGGGCAAAGCTCTTCCTTCGTGGACGCAAGAGATGTTGAGAAAACAGTTTCCCCATTCCCACACTTCAGGAGTGCTTCAAAAGCTGCCTGGAGGGGGGATGCTGACAGAGACCCACACAGCATCGACAGGATTTAGTACGGGGTCCACGGCGGTTTATCCCACGTGCAGGGGAACCTGCGCATTTCTGTAGCAGAAGGAAGAGGAGTGAGCCAAACACAGCATGTCAGCGGGAGTAACGCTGGCTCTCGGCAGCAACCATGTGCAAGGCAGGGGCCAAGCTAAGCACTGAGCTCATAGTTGCTCTGGGCTGTAGCTTACAGGTGTCTTGAAATTGCAGAAAGGAAAAAAAGGAAAAAGCTATCAAAGTAAACATCTTTCAGTGCATGGGAAGATGACAGATTCTTTCTAACAAGATTTTCTGCTCTCCTGGAGGAAGACCATTTGTTAATAAACCATCTGAGAATCCATTTTTAAGGGATTTAATAAAATATACGCAGACCGCCTTCCACTGCGGGAACTATTATTCCCTCGGGTAGAAGAAGTGACTGGCTGTGGGCATTAATGGTTGCTTCCTGTGATTCCTGGCATTATATCTTGCTCCCATTTGCACTTTTTCAACCCGGAGTGAAATAATTTTTTATGAGAAACCTGCACTTGATTCCTTGGTCTTAGGAGGCCTGTGTGTGTTCTATATTTTATTTATTTGTATTCAGTCATGTCCGGGATTCTCGTTGTTTTAGTGGGTCTGTCTGTAGCGTGGGTGTTGGGCTGGTGCCTACTTTCCTGTGTAGAAGAAAGTTTCCATATCCAGCAAACTCCACTAAATGGAATAGGTAATGGCTTTTGTGTGAATTAAATGAATTGTGCCATTCTTGCCAAAGACTTTAATGAATAATTTGCATGTTTCCATCAAAACTTGTAGATTTTCTATTGTAATGGTTGCTGTCAATTAGACAAAAAACCCTGAATCTATTATGGTCTGGCAGAAACTTACCCCGGGGGGCTGGGGAACCCACAAAAGAAAAAGGAGGTTTTCTTAAGGATTTGGAGGAGGGTTTTCTACTGCAGCCTTTCCAACTATGTGAATTTAAGTTATACTTCTTCTGAGTATGAGAGAAATACAGTGGAATTCAAGAATTAAGTATTTTTGTAAGGAACTGTGCCCTTTCTGATCAACAGACTTTGGTTCTCTTAAAATAAGAAATAATTTTTATGCTGAGAACATTTCATAAGGGTGTGTTTGTGAAAAATACCAGTCGATTTCAGTAGCTTAGACTGTAGGAGGAGGAGGAGAAAACCAGAGGCAAGTGACCCTTAGAAGTCAAAGCATGAATAGTTTCATGTTTGTATGTGTCACACTGAGCTATACCCAAATATATCCTGTCTGTATTCTCTTACTGGGCTCCTCTTGCCATGGCCGAGACCCAGCAGGCAGTGCTAGAAGTGAATTTAGTGTAGATTGCCAAGTGAGTGCCCAGGCAGACAGGAGTGTCATGGAAAAATGAAATCTGGAAAGCTAATAATATTTCAGTCCCTGGCAGCTCTAGCAGAACCCAAAGGGATGTACTTAGAGGCATGATTTGTTTGATTCTTTTCTTTACCAGAATTCTCTCCATATCGTGTCCAGGAACTGAAGGTGTAGTGGCAGGCTGGCAAGATGGGCGGATATTGCTCAGTTGGAGTATTAGAACCTTTTATATATAAAGAGATTGCAGACAGGCTGCTGCCAGGACATGACGGAGCTGGTAGAGAAAGGGACCAACAGTAGGACAGACACTTTTAGAAGAGATGGTTTATTCTACAAGAACATCTATATGTGTAGGAAACCGCTCTGTGCTCGTTTGATAGCATCACATCAGGTGTAAACGAGTGTAATTCCCTGAACAGAGGCTTGAACAGAGCTAGTGAAAATTCAAGAATAACACAGGATTTGTTTCTCCGTTGAACCACAGGTACCTCAAAAGGAACCGATCCAAATACTTAATGTCAAAGAATAAGTGCAGCTCTTTAATGCTCAGAACACAAAGTACACAAAGGTTCTTACAAGCAGTTCCCTAGAAACTTGCAAGTGTTCTCCCTGTAAACTTGAATGTGAGAACAATTGGTTACCGTTAGTCCTGCTTCACAGGAATACATAAACTCCATATTTGGACGTGCAACAGGTTAATTTTGGAGCTATCTAACCATTCAAGGTCCTGAGATGTTGGCTGGCGTGCAAGGAAAAGCAAGTGGGTTGGGGTTAAGGGACACTGTGGCTTTTTGAGGAATTAACTGGGGTAAGTACAGGTTCCAGATGGAGCAGTTTATGTAGCCTGAAGCAAAATAGAGAGGAAGTCTTCAGTGAGTGGAGCAGAGGGAAGTCCAGATAAATTAAGAGCATAACCCTTATTACAGAAATCTGTGAATTTAAAATCTCTGTGCGTACGAAGCTCGGTAACTCTACTGCACAACAGTTGGTGACACACTAATGATCACCAAACGGTAAAAGGAGTGAAATAAAGTATTTAAATTAATGGCCATCATGTTTACGAAGTCTTGCATAGCAGGGGAACAGTGTACAGTAGGGAAACTGGTATTCATAAATACAAAAACTGAATAATATGATTTCACTCCAGTAAGTGCCTTTGTGTCATTTATTTGAACAGTTCTAGTGATGGACCTTTCATTGACCTTTCTGGATTTTTCTGTTTGTTTTCAGCTGTTGGACAAACTGAAAGATCGCTGGATGCACACCGGCTTGTGGAGGAACCTGGAGCTGGTTAAGACAGTCATTGCAGAGCCTCAAGGAGGGGCAAAGAGTGACTTTGATGAACTGCTGAAAATATACTATGATGCAATAAAATGTAAAGGAGAAAAAGGTACGTTCTTCAGACACATGATATGGTTGATACAGACTCTTCATGTTTAAAAAAAGAAGGTTCTTAAAGTGCATTTAGGATAAGGTATGGATAAAAAATTAAATTAACCCTAGCTTAAGTTAATGTTATAAATGAGGAACATTAACTGCGATTTATAGCGTTGCATGAGTAGTTAAGGAAATACAGAATAATGCATAATCCTAACAGTGGTATTGGAGAGGCGCCTCACTAGGCAGTTGTGTGTCCAGTAAGGTGCAGAGTGGCTTCTCAAAGAATCCAACGTACAGTACATTACATAACCGTGATTTACCATCTTACATTATAGCCACTATAGGGCTTCTCCTCAAAACCACTTAAATATTAATATGAAGAGTGATAGTACGTCAAAACATAAATAGCACAATTTCTGGAGAGCAAAATCTAATGTTTGAAATTTAGAATTTTGTTGTAGGTACGTAGGGTTATTGCACAGTTAAGTACCACTGTATTGTATAGTGCAAAGTTATTTTGCTAGTTGGTATTCAAAGTCGCAATATTATTGATCGAAATGGAGTTAATCTCATCCCTCTAGCAGAGAAGTCTGTGTTTGTTTATCAGCTCTCCTTTTCCATACCGATACACAATATATTATGCAATACTATGTCTAACTCTTGATGAAGCTTTCTTCTGATATTCGGTTTGTCACTGGGAATAATTTATATATTCCTCTCTGGCTTGTTCTAGATGGAGCACTGCTTATAGCTGTGTGCAGAGGAAAAGTTAGCGAAGGCTTGGATTTCTGTGATGAGAATGCCCGTGCAGTTATAACCATAGGTATTCCGTTTCCAAATGTGAAAGACCTTCAGGTAGGATATCAACTGAAAGAGTTGTACTTTATTTTTATGTCATATTTTAAAAGGCAAATATGCACAAAATATTTTTATAAACGTTTATTGTTGGTCTCCCCTCAATCCCATTTGGGTTCTTTGAGTTACTTTCTACCCAGGTTTATACTTGAGTATAAAATGATTTACATTCAGTTAGCACTCTGCTCGAGTTCAAAATGCTCTGTATTAGAAGCATATGCTGAAATGATATTTTAGAACTACATGCTCAGTAGTACGCCTGGAACTCTTAAAATTTGCTCTGATTTTCAGAAAGTCTGGATTTCTGTGTTCTAGATGATACAAACTTACATTGAAAAGAATGTGTGAGGAGTGAGTTATCTCCACAGTGGATTATGTTCCTTAAGATTAAAATAGTGGTTTTGATTTTACCTTGAATTCAAGCAACTATGTAATATAATGGAATCACAGGCAATACATCCCGGTACTGATAATTAAACTCAAAAAAATCAGTGTTGTGTTGAACTATTTTTTTAATTAGACAGAGGAAAACCTCTAAATTTTTAAGTAGGGATAGAAACACTAGCTGCCAAAGTGCAAGCAGCTAAAGGTTGGAGTGTATATATTTAGCTATGGTAATGCACAAAGCACTGCAGTGATCAATTCTAGATGAGAGAAGGGCACGCACCAGTCTCTCAGCATCACATTTGAGGAGCTGTCTGGCGCATGGCAGAGCTCCTAGAATAATGCTGGAGGAAATGGCTTTTATTGTAAATGTGTCTATTGCTCGAGAAATTGGATCCAAAGTGATATCCAGCTCGCAGTACTTCCCTTTAAATTGAATGGTGTTTTGTTTTGTCTAAGGCTTTAGGTTTATCAGATACCCCAGAAAGTTCTGTATTAACGCACATTTCTTTCACCAGCTGGGTGAAGAAGGATAGCGTGAAGGAGAGGCTCTCCCTTTGCTGAAGATTAGTAGCTTTGTAGAAACACAAGCATAAATACAAAAGAAATTTGGAGGAATTGGAATTACGTTTTTAAGGAAAACTAACTGTTGGTAGTATTGCTTTCTAGAATGGAATGAAACAAAGGTATCATAAAAGGGTACAGAAAATTAAATGCTATATTTAAAAAAAACTTGATAACTTTTTATAAAACCAATGTGAAACCTAATTTTAATAGTCTGTGTATATTAACAAATGCAAACTATTGTTTATTTCAGTCCCTCTAGACCAACAGACCTTACCTGCACATTAGAAAGGAAAAATGAAGTTTTATTCCTGTACACTTTATTATAATTCTTCTAAATGCTTTGGAGTTACCTTTAGGGAGTAAAACTTCCTAGAACTGAAGACATATTAATTTGGCCAGAAGGAAAAAAAGCATGAAACTGACAGGGATTGGAATGGATGCCTATAAACCACGCTGTCGTGTACCAGATAGTTATAACTATTACCAGAAATGCAGACAGAAAACTTAGTCATTATAGACAGCTGATGTTGTACAGTTAAGCCTTAACCTGTTGCACTAACCTGTTGGAGCCTGGCTGGCTGTGCTACAGTTCCATTAGCAGTTAGAGTCCAAAAGTCACCAGCCCAATTGCCAGGGGGTTAAGTGATGCTCGTGCCATCCGTCCTTCTAGCCCTACCTCTGTGGTCAGATCTAAAAGCTTTTACTTGTGGGAGTAATCCCTTTAGTACTTCTAGAACTGTGCGGAATCGTAAGTGTTTGTAGAATTGTACCTTCGGAGACCCGTTATTTTACGTGGGCAGTTTGATGTTGGCTCATCTCCACCAATATTACTTGTCTGTGTCCAACCTGCTTTCTAAATATATTTTATCATTTGTGACTTGATGCTAATACCAGTGAACTGTAATATTAGAGAACGCAAATAATGTGACAGCAGAAGATGTGTAATCCCACACACATGCTATCTGATGCTAACATACTATTTGTTAACTTCTGTTACATATTTTGAATCGCAGCATTTTGGATCCAGACATCAGTCTTTACTTGGGCAAGAAACTCATTGTCAAGTGTGGTGTATAATATCCAATTTTCTCCATATGTTCTTGCTAACTATATGCACAACTTCTGGTATTAAATGAAAAGTATTTGGTTCCTTTAAGTAAAACTCTAAGTTTTTATAAGTTAGTTTCTGTAGAACCTTTAAAGAGTATCATTTAGTTTTGCTTTCAGGCACGTAGTATCTTATGTTCCCCCACATGCACAAAGAGAAGAGTCTAAACCGCTTTGTCGGTGTTACGGAGAAAGAAACGATTAATGCTCAGAAGTGTTCCTGATAACAAAAAATACTGATTTAAGAGAGGCCCAAACCCTAAAGCTGTGTTACTGGAAACGGTTTCATATTGCTGAAGAGTCAGGTTGCTAAAGCAAAATATATAAACGAAATGTTCAAGTATTGCTTAAAGCTATGGTACTCTCAGTGGTAGGGTTTGGCTCTAGTAAAGCAGGAAAATTTATTTCAGAGCCAAAACCGGCTTCTTTGGCTGTGACCAGGATTTCCTCTGCCCACCTCTGGGACCTGAAACTAGAGGTAGGAAAATCTGATTTTGGAGCCAAGTGTGACTTGTTTAGTTCAAGTCGTAATTTACTGTTCTTACTTTGGGGACCTGAAAATAAAGAAACTCGCTGTGAACTGTTGATAATGGGTGGCTCTGAAGTGCAAGCATTAAGCTAACTTTCCCGCAGAGCATTTCTTCACTTCCACCTTTCCAGATGCTTTTGATCATAGTACAGTCGAGTGTATTAATCGTGTCACGGCCAAGAGAACTCTACCAAAATACAGAGGAAAATGCAGGCAAACTCTTTTACATCAGTAGCTGTGCGAGGAAAATAAACTTGAAGGCTGGGATTCCTGTGCAGGGAGAGCACCTGAGAACTGAGTTTGCCCTTTAGGAGAAGTATTTCCCACAGCTGCTGTAGGGGGAACATGAACTACAGTGGCAAATACCTTCTGTATTGTTTCCAGTAACGTAATCTGTGAAATGAAACATTTCAATTACAATTTTCTGGGTGATAGGGAACTTAACGATAGGAAGAGTTCACAGCCGTCTGGCTGAAGTTTCTTTGTCCTTTCTTGAGGGCTCAGCAAACTGAGATTCATTTCAGAATAATGGCCTTTTTCTGAATGTTTAAGTTAATTTCCAGTCCTTGTGGCAATTTTTAAGCCCATATGCTTTTTCTCTATTGAAAGAGAACCTTGTGCTAGGTAAGTGATTGCTGAAATAATTAATTTCTTGCATACTATATCCTAGGAAAATTTTTCTTATTTTAGCTGCTTAACCAGGCTTGAGAAACATACCATACACAGGATGGATTTTGTCATAGTTTTGCATCGCTTAGAAACTATTTTCACTTCTTATTCACAGGAAAATATTGTTTTAAAGTGTGGACAGACTGGTACAAAAAATTACGTTTTACGGGAAGGATATTGTTGCGTTTGTCTTTAGTAGAATTTGAGAATGCCCTGTGAAGTTAAGATTTTTTTTTGAGGTTTAAGACTGATTATTCTGTTATGGAGGTGATGTTTTGAGCAGACTGAATGCTTCTGAGCGACTTTGCCACAACTTTCCAGTCCAATCTGACATTCGTTGTAAGTGCTTTGAGGCTCTATGTGCTATCATTTGCAGTGTGATTTAAATGTTTGTAAAAAGTGAGTGATTTTTTTTTTTGCTGTTGTTTGATTGTCTGTTAATGGCTGCCTAAACCTCAGCCAGTTTTACTTTCTTCATTCTATTACTGTGAAAAAAATTAGAAATACAAAGTGGGGAGCAAAAAGCCATAAATATATAGCTATCTGGCAATTTCTTACATCGGTTTGAAGCAGTAAGATATCTCAAGTCTTTTACTTTTCCAGAAATAAGAATGATTTTAAGTCCACGCTCTTCTTTCATTCACTACATTGATGGCAGAGGCTTAGGTTGTGGGAGTGGCTGTAGAATCCCATGGAATGCAGCATTCCTGTCGCTAAGAAAGGTAACATTTTGGTTCAGCTGCACGGGTATGCCTAGCGGATGGCATTTCTGTTCTGCCTGGGCAAGGCTAATGTCAATATGTTGGCGCAGATCACAGAACTCATCCCCGAATATACCCAGAAGTGAAGCCTCTGGATAAATAATACAGCAAATCAAAACTTTTCCTTTACGTTTAATTGTTTACTTTTCTGATCCATAAAAAATTCCAAAGTGATTTTCTTGGGTTTAGCTTGTCCTTAGCAAGTAGTGTTGACCTTTAAGTTTTTACTTTACTGTCAAAGTATGTTGAAAGCTTTAAAAGTGAAGCTATCACCTTGGGGATTTGTAAGGATGACTGACACTTACACTTCACCTTAGCCGCGGTAGCGCTGAGCGTATGCAGCAGCGTCGTACCTCAAGGGAAGCTGTTTGATTTTTTTCACTTCTGCTTCACTGGAAATGGATTGAATTTTCTCTTCAGAGGAGAGTTTTGGTTGCATTAGATTTTAATCAAGTCACTTGTTCACGGCCCCTCCAAGCTTACAAGGCTGAGATGAGTAGATGGGCCTGGGGTGAATGTGCTACAAGATTTGTCAAACCGTAAAACTTCCTGATCTCCGAGATGCCGCGCGGTGTAGTTGACAATGCTAAAAGTGTTCAGCGGTTGCAACGTTACATAAGCTTCCCATCTCTCGAACGCTCGACAAAGAGTGAGAATACCGGGGAAGCCTATAGTCATAAAATACCTTGTGAGTTCAAAATCAGACGTACGGCTTTACGGAGCGTGGTCGTGCTGGTTTTCTGCCCCAGAAGGTGCAGTATAGGCCAGGGAGCAGGCCCTGATGAGCAGTGCTTTGCTCTTGGGTTGCTTGGCTTTACTGGTTTTCTTTAAGATTCTGGGCTATGGGGAAACAAGCTAACAGTGTTCTTCCATGTAGAGTGTCTTTCTTGCCACCTTCACAGGTTCAGGTTTCTTTTTTTCCCCACTTTCATTAACTTTTCCTGGTTTTGATTGTATCTTTATTCAGGCAACACACATTTAAA